ATTCTTTATCAACATAACTGGTTGCCGCAAAACCTGTATGTTGAAAGCACTTCATGGCATGTGAGCACGGCATGTGATAGATGGACCATTTTCCACAAAAGCATAACCTTCTGGCTTTATTGACGGTGTGTGTATTATTCCCCAGTTGTGATGAATAACAATGCAATCTTCAAAAATATTTCGCTCGTTGCAAATACTGCAAAAATGGATGCCATTGTGCTTGGTTCCTGTATTTCTCAAATCTTTTCATTGGTATATTCAACAACCCTTTCCATCAATAACGATGCACCTCTCGATCTTTCAACAAACCTCTTCGCCATATGCTTGAATGACATTCGCACCATGGCAATGACAGGCAATCTACATACAGACTTCAATAAGTCATTGAAAGATTCTAACATATTTGTAGTCAGAATTCCCCATCTTCTGCCACCATCCATATGCAAAGTCCACTTGTCAAGCTCATGTCGCATCAACCAACTATACGCTCCTTGGTCGTCCTGCCTAATCAATTCCATTCGCCTCCTGAATTTACATTCTTGGTGATTTGTTGTAGCCATCCACATTAAATCATACAAGTCTTTGTTCGGATAAGCCCTCTGAAAGTTGTCCTTCAAGTGCCTAACACAGTAACGATGGTAGGCATACGATTCCTTCCATGCACGAAAATTCTATGCAGAACCTAAAATACCGCCATGCCGACTAGATATTAGACAAATAGCTGAACAATGTCTAACAACGTGCTCCTTCAAGTGGTTCAAAAATAATGTCCACGTCTCTTGGCTTTTATTGGCACAAATTGCAAATGCTAGGGGAAATGTATTTCCATTAGCATCTACTGCAACAACGATCAACAACTTAATATCATACTTTCCATAGACATAAGTGCCGTCTATGGATATTACCGGCCGATAATGCACAAAACCATCAATGGCTGGTTTAAATACTCAAAAAACATATCTGAATATGTGTTCTGGTATTCCCGGACTTCGCTCAAGCTTCCATTCAACAACAGTCCTGGGATTAAAGTATTGTAATGCAGCCATGTACCTGGGTAGAAAGGCAAACGACTTATCCCAGTTACCATAATCAATTTCAAACACACGTTTACGCCCGAGAAATATCTTTCTTTTGGTAATGGTACATCCATATATCCGGTGGACAGATGTTATACACTCTTTGATCTTGTACCTTATGGACGCTTCAATATATGGAATTAAGACTAGAGAAATCAAGTCAATATTCAAGTTAAAATGATTCCCACTGAATGTGTTCATTTTACAATTGTGGGCTCCAATGTATTTACCCACAACCACATTTTTGTTTTCAGCTTCCTCGCACGCAACATCCAATTACAACCCGTAAACTATCTGCGACAAATAACCTTGTATACGTCCGGAGATAACTCATGAACCACGATCTCACGACACTCTTTTATGTTGTACATTTGCACCGCCCTACTTAGGCACACTTTATTAGTAAAAATCATGCCCTTTGACATCACCGTTGCTCTAGATTCATCCCACATTATTGTCCGAATTTCATCAAGATCCCTTATGAGGGCATCCACATCTGGCATACTTGGCAAATGATCAAGGTACGGGATATCCCTTGAATGAAATGGCACATGGGACTCGTACACTCTTGGTCTAACGGGAGGTAGAGCATGCTCCCTCGTCAAATCAAGTTCAGCATTTTTGTCCTTCTTATTATCACCCTCATCAGGGAAGGGTGTGTCATCTCCAGACTCATCAATATTGTTGTTATAATCACTATTATCTTTCCAACTCTGCGCATCTGCCAGATCCCGATTAAATATGTTGTCTTCGGGCAATTGAGTAAGGACATGACCTTCAAGTTGCTCGTTTTCACTGCACAACTAATAAAATAATGAGTTTCTCAAATTCATCCAAACTTTACAAAGAGCTTTATCACTTCACTTACAAATCATAATGTGTTGATATCCCATGATACACATTATCATGTTGATTATGACTCCTAGATGGACCACCATGATCTAACACACCAAAACTAGGCATATTCTAACTGGCCGCTGGTTCATAACTTGTAAAATTCATATTTGGCCGGTACCTCCTGGGGAATATATGAGTGTTAATACAAATTCAATACATAAAAATAACTATCGTAAAATAGAGGAAAATTGAAGTTTACTACTCGGCTTGTGGATTATGTAAACTTGGGGAGAAATTATTTCCTCGCTCATCATACACCCGTGGAGATAAGTTTATATCAGGTCAAACTTTTTTCCTCGGAACCTGTTCGGCTAAACTGCTCCATAATAACCATCCGATGATTGAGGGATATTCCTACTTTGCGGAACCTCATTATTGCGAACGTCTTCAGCCTTGACGTACATTTCCAACATTTTTATCACAAGAAGTTCACGATGTTCATTCGGACTCTTCAAAAAATCTGCCAGAGTTTCATCGTCTTTAATGTTAAACTCAGCATAACAAGAAATCCCTTGTAGAGCTACATCATATGAATATCTTCTGGTTACTTTAATATTCAATGAACGTTTGCTCACACTCATTTTTTTACATAACAACGATACCAATGTATCGTACTCCATTGTAAGTGGCAACTTAATATGATATTGTGGAGAACAACTATAGCGTATTGAGTTATTCTCCACCACAACCTCACTCCCCTCCAATATAATGAAATCCTAATTTTTCGCTCTTTGGACATTATGATAAATTGCAAAATAACTTAGCGAACAAATATTTCGGAAGACTTGAAGGATCCTGAATAGATTTTTACAAAATCCTGAAACTCCTTAAGTAAGGAAAAAATTAGTCCAGGGTTACAATTATTTAATGTATAGCGCGCTATACCCCTATGAATTATTGGTGTGTCAGTTACTTGCAGATGAATTATTGGTGGAGCCAACTTTTATGTATAGCGCGGTTATTCATTACGCTATACCTTAACGGACAAACGTGCCATTAAGGTATAGTGTCGTGAATAACCCGCTCTATATATATTATGGTGCTCAGTCTTTTTTTTTTTTACCTATTATGATCGCTTGAGTCCTAATGAACCACACTTTAGTTCCGGGCGGTCTCTCTAACAATATCACAACACGACACTGTTTTTACTTTTCTCTTTCATGTTCAAAAGTAGCAGGCAAATTTTCGCCACTTTTGGGAAAAAATCCTTTCTTCTCCATTTTTGGCTTAATGATTTCTGCCTTTTGTTTCTTTTTCTGTCATTACCCGATGGAAGAAACCAAAAAAATGTTCAAATTTCAAACGGGTTTCGAAGAGTTTTGAAATCTGCCCGAGCCTAAATGACCACTCAAAGAACCCTAATTTTTCTTTATAAATACTCTACTTTACATATATATATATATATTATAGTTATCAAAATTATATTATAGTTATAAGAAAATTGTATTTAAGTTGTTTGATGTTATACTTGCATTTAGTTTTTTATGAGAGTTGTATATATGTATTAAAATTATATCAAAGTTGCATTACAGTTATATGGAAATTAGACTTAAATTGTATGCTATTATAGTTGTAGTATTTTTTTTATGAACGTTGTACACAAGTTCTAGAAAGTTTTATATAAGTTGTATATTGTATGAATAAATGTATGAAACTTATATTTAAGTTTTATGCTATTGTAAATATATCATTTTTAATCAAATTTGTATGAAACTTGCAAATAAGGTTTTGCTGCATTGGCCAAAAAGAGGAGAAAGAGTAAAGAGAGGGTGTTGGTTTGGTCGGATATTAGTCCGGCGACGAGAGGGAATATGAAAGAACATGACCAATCAGAAAAGAAAAAAATATGGAAGAACATAGCCAAGAAATGTCAATTAAAAATGCAAAGAGAAGGGGAATAGAACATAAATAATTGAGAGAGAGTACAACGGACAATTGATTCCCTCCATTATCTGGTTTTGAACGTACTGAGTTGATTCGTGATTCCCAAAGCATACGATTTCCAGAGAGCTCGATGACGGCAGAAGAAGAGGGACAGAGGAGAGGAGAGCGAAAAGGAAGTAAGGTATAACTAAATCTTTTTTGAAGGTGCAAATAACGGTTTGAGAGTCTTTTAAGGGGAAATACATACCCAATTAGTTATAACAATTAGCAAATTTCAGTAAAAAGGGACAAAAATGCTTCCTTGTGTTTCAAAGTAGGTTTAAAAGTTGCCCCTTAAATATATTCATGACTAGTTTTGATCCTTTAAATTTGACCTAAAAGAACCTCTCTTTATTCTTGAAATTTTGAAGGAGAAGTAGAGTAACTAATGCTTTTACCCTTAAATCGTATCTTCCCTCTTTATTTTTGTTTTTGTTTTCCTTTTTTTTTTTTAAAGTTTGCTTTTAAATTGATTATGTTAAAGTTTTTAACTTCTATTGGTTTGAGGGACCAAAGTCACATGTTCATACTGGTTGAAGGTCAATATGCCAAGTCGAATTACACAGGGATCAAAACTAGAATAAAGCTATAATTTAGGGACTAAAATTACTATCTTCCCTATAAATAAACACGCACTGTTAGTTAGATTTAATAAATCTTACATGCTCCAATGGCTGGGTGCCAAAAAAAAAAAAAAAAAAAAAGGAAGAAGAAGAAGAAAGAAACCCCAACAAATAGATTTGCATAAAGAGATAATTACTAAGAGAAAACATTGTTCAAGAGATTTTTCCTTTTTATTTCTCTTCTTTGGATGACAACCAAAATCACAAGGCCTTAGCAACATTAGGACAGTTAATATCATAAAGCCAGATATACAATTACAATGACAAGAACTCAATCACTCCATAGTAATATCTTTCAATTACTGCCTATTTTCTTTTTCTCAAAGATTTCTTCAATTCAAGACAATTATACTGGTTGGAAACTGGATTATGTCATATCTGCAGCCTATTAACCACAGGCTGTTATATGTAGGAATAACATCTATATCTGTTTGGTATAAGTAATGAGACTAAAGAGTCATATTTTGATTTTTATTCCATCTCCACAATTACAGTTCAATGTGATAAATTTAGCAAACGGAACTTTATAATTTAGTCTAATGTATGAGTACTGGCAGTGATGAGCCTTTTGGCTTCTTGCTAAAGACAAGACATGATTACAATTTTTTTGACTATTACAAGTCCAGGAGTACATTCTACATAGGTGAAAGAATAAATACATAGTGCTAAGAAGCTAAAAAAATCCCATAACTCAGGAATCACCCCACTTGTATTTCCAAGATATCTCAAGAACTCTAAAAGGCAATGATATGTTAAACAGATAGTGGACTTTTTTCCATCAGTGTGCACAGCTCTTACCTCGTTCTGCATTTTAGAACAAGTAGGCATCTCACACAGTCTAAGTAGGAGTGCTACAAAGCCCTATTCAAATGGAATTGCTGCCATTGGCAGAGTCCATTTTAGATCCTAAACGAATATGCTTTTACTGTTATCAAGCTCTGCTACTCATGCTCGTAAGGCGATGTTTCACTTGAAGAATCACTATCAAATGGGGCGTTTTCTCTTGGTGATGAAGGAAGTGATTCTTGTTGAGAAGATAAACCTGGAAAGAAATGTTGAGTCAACATAACAGTCATTGATACTCAGTAATGGTATAGCTGAAAAAGTGAAGGACCCCTAAGCCACATAACAAAGAATAATCTGGATATCGGCATCACATAAATGCTTAGATTCTACTAACTCTAGTGTAGCAGAGAGGGCATAGAATTTGACATTAGGTGCTACACATGAAAGACATAAGGGCCAATATGCACAAAAGAGAGAACAGAAAGAAAGAGAAATCAGGAGATAATGTCAGGGATCCACCAACCTTTTGCCCCTCTGGAACGGAACTTCTTTGTATGCCGTCTAATCAGCTTCTTGGCCTTTATTATGGTCAGTTGTCTCGCAAAAGGAGAGAATTCCGCCTCACCTTCACTCCAGTCACCGTGTAAGTCATCTTCTTCACCCCTCATTGTGCGAAGCACGAAAGCCTTAGCCTTTTTGCGCTGGGAATTAAAAAGGCCTTTTACTGAGGTGACAAACCCATCACCTGCGCCATCAGTGGGACGCTTAGGCCAGGATAGCAGGTTCTGCTCAGATTTTTCAGCTGAACCACCATCACTATCACTGAGATTAAGATCAATATTGGGAACACTAGCAGCACTGGCTTCCTTTTGGTTGTTTGCTTTGAACTTCTTGCCCTGCATTAAAATTAACAGACATATGCCATGAAGCTTTAAGAACCCCCTAAAGTAATCTAACAGTGAAGATATTTATCACGGAGAAAGTAAAAGAGAAGGGTGGTTGCAATGCAACTAACACAAAGCAGAAACTGAAAACATTGATTTGGTAAGGCCAATAATTAAGCAATGAAAAGTTAAAAGAATTTCCAGGAATTATAACCTGCATTCCCGTTACTGATTTAAGGACTCCCCAGATGATATGCTTCTTAACTCGTGAGAATAATCTCTGCCAGGTTCCAGTAAATTCAACGCGATGGAATGTATCCATCAGCAATCTCATATCACCCACAGCAAATCTTGATCCTTCATATGTAATTTGTAACTCAACCTAACCCATGCATAAATAAGAATGAATTAGTTATGGAACTAACAAATTTAAAAAACATACACATAATAACACAAAATTGACTGACTTGACTAATCTTGATATTGTGGAACTCTCTCATTCTTCGGGGCCTAGATTTTTTCTCATCATGTGTCTTCCCCACCTTTTTCTCTTCATGAGAGGAACGACCAGATTTAACTAATTTTGATTCCTTGGATTTGTTTCTGTTAGCTTCATCTGGCTGCTCAATATTTGAGAGGGGCCCACTTTTTGAAGAAGAAACACTTGATGAGTGCATTTGCAGTACAAGTTCATTAGCAACAGATTCAGCTACATTTTCTTCCCAGTTTCTATCAAAGGAGGATGTTCGTCTTAGCTTAGGGGTCACAGCAGTAACATTAGCTTTTTGGTTCTGCACCTTTGATGCCTGCACATATTCAGGCATACAAAACTCATTTGGTAAAAAGAAATGATCAAAGATTAAGGAACTATACCGAAGAATTTATCCGAGTCTGTAAAATAAAACTAAAGAAAGAGGACGTGCGAACCACAGTTCACTCCGTCGTCTGCTTCCATTGGTTAGCTAGATGGAATAAGTAACCAACAACCAACTGAAGGGATCAGAGACTCACTAGGGATAAATCACCATAAGAGGAAGACTGAGAATCTTTAGTTAAATGGCTACTTGACGCTGGTGCTTCCTGCACTGAGCCTTTCTTTGCACGTTTGGCACCAGCAGTTGTTGAAACTTTCCATACTTCCTACAAACAAAAAAGATGTTATCAACATTATGTTGTCACATGGTTAAAGCATCAGGTTGCTTAAACTCATTGCACCGTAGAACTGATAAATGGGACCTGAGACAGACCTGCCGCCTCTGGGAGTCTTGTTCATCTTCTGGGAAAAAATACGCCCACATCATTCTGTACATTGACTCAGTCAGATGTATCTTTAAGGGATAAATCTCCACCTACACAAAGGAGAAATCTAAACAGGTTATAAGAGGAATTATCATAAAAGAAGCCAAAAGGGTGAAAAAGGGTTGATCTCTTACAAATGTCCTAGTGTGAAGATTTAATGAATAATTCAATGAGATAACTGTAAGTTCCTGA